GATATCCGAGAAGATCTGCGAGTAATTATAGGTGGAGTAGGATTATCAGCTGTGTTATGATAGAGCTGTGCTGGTTCGGTTGGAAATGGAACCTGCTCCTGGGTATCAAGATCCTTGCAAGGCAAAACCAAGTCAGGAAATAAATCAACCTGTGAAGAACCTTGATCAATACCTTGAAAAGGAAAAACCTCTTCATGAAAAACCACACCACGGGATGTGAACAACTGATGAGTGTTCAAATCATACAGTCTATAAGCTTTCATACCTGGTGGATATCCCAAGAAAACACAAGCTCTAGCTCTAGGCTGAAACTTAGTGCGATTAGCAGATAAAGTGGATGCAAATGCAAGACATCCAAAAACTCGTAGAGTAGAGTAATCAACAGGCCTGTCATATAAAAGCTCATATGGAGATTTGAAGTTAATTACCGAAGAAACAATACGATTAATGAGAAACACAGCCGTGGACACACATGCTGATCAGAAGCGTAAAGGAACTTTTGATTGAAAATACAAGGCACGTGCCACATTCATAATGTGTTGATGTTTCCTTTCAACTACTGAATTCTGTTGAGGTCTCTCTACACAGGAAAATTGATGTATAACACCATGATCATTAAGAAAATCAGTAAAAGTAAGCTCCTTCGCGTTATCTGAGCGTAATACTTTTATCTTCTTGCTAAATTGTGTTGATACTAAGTTAAAAAACTTAGGTAAAATAGCATGCACATCAGACTTGCGTTTGAGCAAGAAAATCCATGTAAAACGAGTGCAATCATCCACCAATGTCAAAAAATATCGAAAACAAGAATAATCAGCAGTGGAGAAGGGTCCCCATATGTCTAAATGAATAAGATCAAAGGGATTTGCTGAAATATGTGCTTGAGAAATAAAAAGCAATTTTCGTTGTTTGGCTAATGGACAAATATAGCATGGCCTCTTATTATTATTGAACTGTGAATCAGAACATTGAAGTCTATCTTTCATGTGTACAAGACACCTATCAGATAAATGTCCTAATCTATGATGCCAAGTATGCACAGAAACAATATTAACAGCAGTATCAAACAATTCGGTACTAACAAGGGTCCTAGTATATAGTACATACAACCCCTCCAACTTGCTACCCTTGCCAATCATCTTGTTGGACTTCTCCTCCTGGATAGCAAATGTATGAGCAGAGAAAGTAATTGTAAGTTGGGAGTCAGTGGATAATGCACTAACAGACATCAAATTGAACTTGAATTGAGGAACATATAGAACATCTCTGAGTACCAACTGTGAATTGAAACGAACATCACCAACCAAGGAAACTGGTATACTAGTGTGATTGGGTAATGTGACAGTGCAACCATGAACTGGCCGAAGAGATAAAAAATGATGAGCATGAGCAGAGATGTGTTTAGAAGCTCTTGAATCAACTATCCAAATATCTTTATCCGAAAATATTGGATTGGTGGAAATGGAAAAACAGGTACCTGTGTTGAAAGCAGTAGCAGGACCAACAACTGCATCAGAGATCTTGTTAATGGAGGCCATGTGACTGGAAAGCAAACTCAAGAGTTGACCACAACTATTTGAGTCAATGTTTTGAAGAACATTATTCAGCGGATGAAAGTTTTGTGTGTGATGTGCAGCATCAACATGAGAAGCATGCACTTCAGCCATATTGGAAGAGAATGATGATTTCTTCTGCCTAGGCTTGAAGCCTGGGGGATATCCATGGAGCTTATAACATTTATCCACAATATGTCCATGATATTGACAGTGGGTGTAGAAAGGGCGTTCCTTCTTGAAGCCTTTGTTCTGACCTTCAAGTTTGGCTGCAAAGGTCATTGTGTTGGTGGATTCAACACCAGAACCATGAGGTAAAATTTGACGTTGATGTTCTTCTTGCATCACCAACGAAAACACTTTGTTGATCGGAGGCAGAGGATCATTGAGAAGGATTTGACCTCGGATCTGAGCAAAGGAGTCATTCAATCCCATGAGGAAAGCCATTGTATATTCCATATGAAAATATTCCAGTAGTCGTTGAACACTACCACATGTGCAAGAGCCACATGTACAGGAAGGGAGAAAGGTACTCAACTCTTCCCAGAGAGCCTTCAAACGAGTGAAATATGCTCCAATAGCTTGTTGTTCTTGACTCAGATTAGCCAAGTCTCGTCGAAGCATGAAGATCTTTGGTCCATTTCGTTGTTGAAAACTATCTTTAAGATCGTTCCAGATCTCCAAAGCCGAATCAGAAAAAAGAATACTAGCAGAAATTTCCTTGGAGACAGAGTTGAGAATCCAGGAAATTACCATATCATTGTTGCGAGTCCAAGATCTGAGAAGAGCAGGATTAGTTCCATCAGGTTTGAGAAGTGTACCATTCACAAACCCTAATTTGTTCTTCACAGATAGAGCTATGGTCATGGCGCGACTCCAGGATGAGTAGTTGTCTCCGGTGAGAGATTGAGAGACCAAAACCAGACCCGGACTATCTGAATGATGAAGAAAGTAAGGGCTGGGGGAATCATCAGCACCGTGAAGCGCCATGGAAGACGAGGAACACTATCTGTAGATCTGGAAAAAAATCACGATCTCTAGATCGGAGAAGAAAGATCAAAGTGCGAAAATCAGAATGCGAAAAAAAATGCTCTAGATACCATATTGCATCACATGCAGAAGATGAATCAGAGACAAAGCAAGAAGAAGAGAGAAGGAGAAAAGGGAAAGTGAAAAATTCTATTCATGAGAAAAGTAAAAAGTACACTACTGAGTCAATCGTCATTCACCCTTTATGATGATGTTTTGTCTGAGAGCAAAAGTAAAACAGAATAGTAACTAACTTGATTATAACTCAACTATACAAACAAAATAGTAACTAACTCAACTAAAGTTAATAAGCCATGGTTAATAAATTGAATCAGAGTATTAATTTATTAACTATAATAGGCTCTGGCTACCAGAATATTATTATGAATTACTTAGATTTTTCTGTGCATATGTGATTTCTTCTTAATTAAAATCTCACTTTTTAGAAAGGTGGTACTTCTGACAAAAAAGAAGAAGGTGATATCTACTTAATTCTGATTCTACCAATTGCACAGAACCTCAACCTCGTCCACATGTTACAATTACTAAGACTATTATGACTTACCATGACCACTTTTAGTAAAGTAACGCCTAAATTCCAACACCAAACAAGTAGGGCCAGGTTGTGTACATATCACATTAGAAAAAAGTAGGGTATAGCATAGCTTAATTAGGGTATGGGAGTAGAGTATGTGAGTGTGGGAAATTTCTACAATAAATGCATCCAGATTTTTATACATTCCTACAATCAAAACCAAACAACAAATATTAACGCTGACATGTAATAAAAAAAGTGAGATCTCAAATTCATGTGTTAGATTCTAAATGAAAGTAATATGTATTATTGATGTATCAAAGATGAGTCCGTGAGTGTGAGAGTATCTATTCAGTTCTCTTCGGTATATCATTTTTGGAAAAGATTTAAAGTTTTAATACTGAATTCGTTTCGAATATAATTGTCTCCCGTAAAGAATACATGTAGTTTATCCAAAAAAAATGATAGGGTATTAATTTTTTATTTTTTTTTGGGTTGATTTTAGTTCATTACATATATCATAGTTAAACAATTTAAACTCGTATACCACGACATTGATTATCTAAACCAACATATTCTATAATTACTAAAAAAAAAACAACATATTCTCTCCTTAAATTTTCAAACATGATTAATTCCCCACTGTTTGAAGAGCTAATCTATTTACACGAGAGTATTATAACTTTTTCTAATTATTAGATTAAATCTTTTAATTATATTGTTACACTTTATCATTAATAGTTCAGGACAAAGTTCTTTTACAATATCATTATCTTAAAAGTATATAAGAATATATTTATTCTTAATTTAATTTAAAAATGCATGATAATTTTAATTATTTAAAATATAAAAAGATTATACACATATTTGTTTTTTTTTAATATAAAATCGTTTATATGACTTACACATTCCTCTCACAATATATGCACACAAAAATGAAAATCACACACTTATTCAATTAGTAAAAATAATATATCAAATCATGGTTAAGGATTACTTAATTTAGTAAGAGATTCAAGTTTAAATCTGAGAAGAACCATCTTTTTCACTTTTCTTCTTTACTTTTTTCTCTTCCCTCACATATACACTAACTCTTTCTGAGATATGAGAATGAATTTGTACCTAATTTTTTATAGATCCTCTCTTCATTATCTACGATAAAATAAAACGCACTCGCACCATAGATTAAAAAAAAATACAACTAGCCGGTTTAAAGAGAAAATTGGTACATTAATCTTGTATCTTCTTCGATAGCATATAAAATTCCAGGAGCTAAGAATTAGTTACAATTATGTCAAATTAATATAAAACCAACAGAACATACAAGAATTAAAAATTTATTACTTTGAAGAATAGATAATCATGTTAATTTATTGTGACACTTTTTTTAATCTTTTACTCAAACACTAGGTCAAACAACGAGATTCACATGCTAGAATTGGACGTAAACAAAAATGACAATAAGTCAAGTAAAAGAAGAAAAAGCACACTACAAAAACAAGCAAAAAAATAAAATATCTTATTTTAATAAAAATCTTCTCAATTATCTTCTCAGCACTCACGCCTTCCACAAATAAAATCTGCAGCACATTTTTCATCAATTTTTTAATTTTTTTCCATCAAAATTAAATATCAGACATTATAAGCACACGCCACGTGTCCTGGGGCCCAGACCATTCTCGGCCACAAGACTCTAAGGCCTTCTCGAATTCTCCATGGAATTTTCTTTTTAATTTTAATTTTAATTTTCATTAGAAAATATTTTTTTAATCTGACGTGTCGTTCTCTCGTTTTTTTGAATTTTAATTTTCTATTTTTTTATTTTTTACTTTTTTAATTTATAATCTCTTCTCCTCTTTGTTCTTCCCTTCTCTGCTCACACCTTCTTCCGTGGCTTCAATCTCTCTCTCTCTCTCTTTTTCGAATTCTCCATCTGGGTCGCTCTGATTTTCTCGGAAAATCTATATTTTCCGAGAAAGTTCACATTTTTACCGCAAAATCGAAAATCCCCAAGTAGCATCCACCAAAAGTCTAAGGTATCAATTGTTCTCAATTTGTGTGTGTGTTTCCAACACGAATCTAGTTTGGATTCAGTTCTCCACATGTGTTTCACAATGAGAATCTGATTGATCTGATTTGTGCAATGGAACTTGGAGTTCTATTTATTTATATTTTGAAAATTCTCTAAGCTGATTATTTTATAGTCTCTGGGGAGAACAGAGAAACTGTAGAGATTGTGAACAATGCTATGTGTGATCTTCTTTCTCTTTGCCAAAAAAATTCACTTTTTTTCGGTGTGGTTTGATTGGTGGCAGCTGTTATTGTTGTAGGCTTCTGGGGTTGGTCTCTGTGAAGCTTAGGGTGTTTTCTGTGGCAGTACTGGTTTGGATTTTGCTTCAATGGAGATGCAGGTATAACATGAAACAGTTCAAACTGGACCTTTCTTAGAATACCCTTTCAAGTTTTTTTTTACTTATTTTTTCACTGCCTGAAGAGCTGAATGATTAGAAACATGTCTTAGAAACCAAGGTTGATTCTTATCTTTTTGGCTATTAGTCTTCAATTTGTGAAGAAAGAGTCATGTCTTGGAAACTATGGCTCATGTGTGTCAAGAATATTTCAGCTTCAGAATGGAAAGTTGCTTAAATGTGTTCAATAGTTTTACCTCTGAAAATAACAATTTGACTTGGTATTTGAGTGATAACTTAATGAGCATTTAAAATATAGAAGACTAATACTTCTTTTAATTCTTCCTATCTCCCCTAGAAATTTTGGACCTTAAGGAGGAGGAGAGAATGTTATGACATTATTGACATGCTGTTCTTAATGGAATGTAAATGGATATTTACCTTGGTTAATTAGAGTAGTTGCATGGATTAGCTTGTGTGTTAGAAAGGGATGACCACGAATCTCTCTTAGTCTCTATATAATATGCTGCTGCTTGATTGGAAGCAGGTTTCATCCGTCTTTCGTTCACTCTTCCGCTCTTCCGGAGACTTTTCTCCTCTTTTTTATAGAAAAGAGGATTTCATTATGAATTCGTCCAGTGACTTTATTTCCTAAAAAGAAATAATGTCCCCTAGGAACTGAAATATATTCTAGTGAGCAGCAATTTCTTTCATGATGAAATTATTCCCCCTCCCCTTTTCTTTTTCTTTTATTTCCATTTTTAATTGGAGGACAGTTATGAATTCATCTTCTAATACTGAATGTAGGACCAAGTAGAAGGCACAGGGTCAACCATAGTTGGTACAGCTAGTAACTGCCATTCCAATGGTGGAACACAATCTGAAAATGTTGCACAATTGCAGGATATACCTTCTGTTGGAAACAGACATACTCCCAAGGTTGATTTACTTTCAATATTAAAATATTGTTTTGGTTCCCCTTTCATGGACCAATATGTCTAAAGAGCTACCTTTTTGTTCCATTTTATTTTAATTTTCAAAAGGTGAGGAAGCCATATACCATTACTAAACAAAGGGAGAAGTGGACTGAGGAAGAGCATCAAAAGTTCCTTGAAGCTTTGAAATTGTATGGACGTGGCTGGCGTCAAATCGAAGGTAAACTCTTGTCCTGATTTAATTAAAGCTTTCTAAAATGATTTTTCAAGCCTTCAAGTAAGATGAAGTCATCTTATCTTCATGCAGAGCATATAGGTACCAAAACTGCAGTTCAGATTCGAAGCCATGCTCAAAAGTTTTTCTCTAAGGTTAATTTTACTTTTAAATTTCAGTAGATAATATTTTCTGGTAACAGGGAGGCTATAAACATAGAATTGGATTTTGATTGGTCTATGGAATAGACCTATTAGTCCTAGTAAGGAAAGGATTTTGATCATTTGCAATTTAATAGCATTAAAAAAGTTGAAGATGTTTTGGTCCAGTTCTATGTGCTTATGCATCAAACTCTATACTTGGTTTCAGGTTGTGCGGGAATCTGATGGCAGTGTTGAAAGTTCTATACAGCCAATGGACATACCTCCTCCTCGGCCGAAGAGGAAACCTCTTCATCCATATCCCCGTAAATCAGTTGACTCTTTGAAAGGACACTCCACACCAAATGAACCAGAAATATCTCCATCTACAAACCAGTTTGTTGCAGAGAAAGACACCCAGTCTCCAACCTCAGTGCTATCTGCAATAGGTTCGGAAGCATATGGGTCTGCAAATTCGGAGCAAACTAACAGATGCCTTTCACCAAATTCTTGCACCACTGATTGCATGACATCCAAACCATCTGAGGAGGAAGAGAAGGGATCTCTAGCTTCAGTCCCTTTATCCGCAGGTTCAAACCCAAGCATGTGCATGGTATGATAAGCTTCTGAAATAAATTGATGGCTCATAAAATTCTGTTGTGGTTAAGGTTTTACTGATTTTCAAATTCTCTTGTGTGTTATCTCAGAAGTCCGAGTTTAGTTCCAAGCAAACTGAATGTTTCAAAGAAGATGCTGCCAACATGCCTCACATAAATAGTATTAAGCTTTTTGGGAGAACTGTCTCTATGGTAGGTAATCAGAAGTCACTGAAGATAGATGATGAGAATATTAAGCCAAAAACTATGAAGTCTGATGAAGTGGATGTTGTTGAGAATGAAAAGCTTGGCCAAGCAGGGGCATCTGAGAAACTAGAAACACAATTATCACTGGGAATGTGTAGTGATAACTGGCATATAACACCTGATGGAGCTAAAATGACCAGCAGGGAACACCCGAAAGAGAACATGTGCTTCAGTGAATGTGCAACTGAAGCATCTCAGCCATGGTGGAGTTTGTACCAAGGCCTTCCAGCTTTCTACCTCGGGCCATGTAATCAAATCCTGAATCCCATGCCTCTTTGTCCCTCTTTGAATGTAAGAACAAGAGAGGAGGAAAGTTCTTGCACTAATTCTAATACTGAATCAGTTTGTGATATGGTAAATCCAAGCAAGAACTCAGATGCTGTTGATTCTAAATGTCAAAAATATCATGAGGAAGGAATAGCCCCCCAGAAGCCTGCAAGGGGATTTGTACCATATAAAAGGTGTTTAACTGAAAGAGATGCAAATTCTTTAATTGTTGCCTTTGCCTTGGATGAGAGGGAGGGGCAAAGAGCTCGTTTGTGCTCATAGCCTTCCATTGCATTTAGATTATTCATGGTGTTAGTCAGAAAAATAAAATTAAAAAAAATAAAATAAGGAAGTGATTTAGGTAGCTCTGAGGTCTAATTGTCTAATTGACAAGAATCTGATTTCCCATTTTTTTTCCAATATCTTCACCCGATCCTCCTTTCTTCTTTCTTCCACGGGAAAACACTGTATGATCAATAATTCAAGAGGGGGCTGGCGGCATTGTTTTGGCATATTTGTATTTCCTTATAGTTTGCATGGTTACATCAGTGATGGAGGTATTTAAAGGAAGCGTGAGCACGCACAGCATGTCACTAAATTTGTTCTTCTGTGATCTGTTGTTGGTTGTAGAGATCAAATGGCATGCCAATGTATTAATCTCAAGAGCGCCATGTGCCGGTAGCTATATTAGCAATTTGTATATGTGGTTTTATGTGCCCTCTATCAAATTATTGAATGTACTGTATTTCCACGCTTTTCCTGTGTTTTAAGCTGGTTACTAGTACCAAAAAAAGGTTACTACCGTCGTTAATCGAATATTTTTTGTATCTTCAAGTGTTAAGCCAATTCTTAAAACATAAGAAACATCATCTATGAATATGTTGCTTATTTATACTAAATACAATAAAAAAAAAAATTGCAAAGAGGCTGTTCCGGTTCGCTCTCTTTTAAAAACACTCCCCGTTAAATCTGACTAGCGAGTGTAGAGTGGAGAAAATCTTTGTACGCAGCTTTACCCTTGCATAATTGCAACGAGACTGTTTCTTGGATTCGAACCCATGACCTTTCAATCATGAAGGAATAGTTTTACCACTGTTCCGGTTCGTCCCCTTGTACTAAATACAATCATCATAATAAATTCATTCGTTATCAATTTGATTGTAAGCTGGCAACCAAAATTCTGATTTCTGATAACAATTACTTCAGTAGGTTCAGAGTTAATACAAGGGAGGAAGGGTGTTCATACAGACGCCATTGACATATTATATATAACCACTCTAGATGACATTGTAAATGAGTATATTAGGCACGTATGGCATGGAAGATTGACAAATACATGCTTTACTGTGCAGACTGATGAAATAGTAGTCATGTTTCAGTGCTTAAATGAGTTCCATTGCTAAAGCCTGGGGTGGGAGTAGGGAAATGGGGTGAAAAAGAAAGGACTCAGATGAAAGTTTTATCAAGTAGGGATCTTGCATATAGTGTCAAGTACAATGCAGACTGTTAGGCCAGTGCCATAGTGTGATCCTGCATATTGCATACCAATGAACGTGTAAGTAATGCCCCTTTGGATCTTCATTACTGTCTAGTGTTTTGCTTGGGTCTTTGCCATAGTTCTGAACGTGGTTTGGCAACTTCCACAAATATGACCCTCCCATCCAAGAACTGCAAAAGTGGTTCCTTTCTTGTCAGTATCCAACATAGACCAAGACTTTTTTTAGGTTAATTAAATAAAACAAATAGGAAATTAAAAAATAAAAAACATATAAATTCAAATTTGAAGCCTTAGAAGTTAGAACATCAAAATATTACAGCATAGCTAAAATGAATCAGAGGGTGTATAACAATTCCAGATCAAGTTTATGGGATTAAAATGAAATTGCCTTCTAGTGATTCTTTGACAGTGTCACAGTGAATAGTATGTTAGATTAATTTGAGTATTTGACTGCCTCGAATTTCACCGAGTTACAATTCATCATAATTGAAAAATCAAGATGCTTCAAAAATGGTGGATCTCATTCAGCTTCATGAATAACTCTACAAACTACAATATCTTGTGAGCCACTTCTAACTTTTAGAGTTGCAACTAGTATCTTGATTAGTTTGCAACATAAATATATTCATATGATTATATTCTCTCTCATTTCGAAAATCCACTCTTGTTACTATGATAAGGCTTGTGATAGCCATTATAAAATTAGTCAAGGAATAAATACAAAGAACCCTAGTACAATTCTAATAGTGTCACTTAACCTATTGGCATGCTAAATATATAAATTAGATGCAATGAGTTGGCATAAGCTCGACACCTTTCCTTATACATTGTAAAGAATCATTTCAACCCCAAAACTTAAGTTGTTAGGTGAAGGCCAATTATTGGTTTATATTATATTATATTTTTCTAACACGCCTTCTCACACAAGAGTCTATTGGGTTTTAAGATGGACAATGCAAAGGCTTTGCCTACCTATGTTACGAAATTTCACAATTTATTTTTAATTATTTATTAATAGAATGGAAACAGTGAAGATCGAACTTGTGATCACTTGATCATATAGTCTCTGATACTTTGTAAGAATAATTTCAACCCAAACCAATTAATGGTTTTATGTTATACTATATTACATTTCTCTAACATACAACATCACCTTGTCCCCTTCCCCTTTCTTGCTTCTCCAAGATATGCAGGTTAATCTTAATTATTTTTAATACATTATAAAGAATATTGGCATAGAGCTGTCACACTCCATCTACAGAAGAAGTCTTTTTAGTTGCTCATGCATTCTGCATTTTCTGCACACAGTAGTCAGTTTATTAGAATTTAGAATACTATCCATCAATGATTGTGTTCACTGTGTGTCAGGTAAGATAACCAGAGGATGTCTTGTTGGCAAACACTGTCTTGTTTGCTAAAATGAAGTTGCAAAAAAATTACCATTTATGTATCTGAGCTTCCACAAATACAAACGCCACAAGAAGAAACCACAAAATCATACCTTTCCATGCATTCCCTCAATAGCCTTCTGAGATTCCTCTTCTGTTGCATAACGAAGAAAAGCAAACCCTCTTGGTCTATTTGCAATTTTGTCCATCACCAGATTGACTGTTCATAAAGTTGAGCGAATACTTTAGAAGTAAAAAGGGTTACCAACATATTGATCAGAACTGGCAAATGAATGACAGATAATAAACCCTGAATTTTTGTCAAATAGCATAATAGACAAAGAAGAAAAGATCAACATTTTCTGTTCCTACCTTCCACTAGTTGACCAAAATTTTTAAATGCATTTCGCAAGCTCTCTTCAGTGGTACGAAATGATAGCCCTGAAAGAAACATGAAATAACATATATAAAGTTAAATCCAAAAAATATGCATGTAAACAATCAAATATCAAAGAAATTCAAAACAACTGGCAAGAATTCCATCCTAAAAATACAGGCATCAAACAAGAATGAGTACAATCTGTAGACTGTAGCAAAAGATGGCAAATGGATATTGAGTCAAGCGTAATCACAGCAGATATATGAATGACATCAAAGTATACTATGCCTTGTTGAAGTTGCTTTACTAGATGAGTAAACAATTTTGACGGACAGTAAATTCCTTTTAAAAATTAATATAGAGATGATAGACTCCTAAAGAGGTTAACAGCTGAAACCGAAAATGTGATTGAGGGGTCTCAGATTTTACATAAATTGTGTCTTGTCTTAACATTAATTCTCTTTCTTGATCCTCATGTGTTAAAATAACCAAAGGATATTATAATGTTAATACCTAATAGAAACTAGATTTAAAGCTCTGGTACTGGTTACCTTCTCCCACTATTCCATCAAATTCTTCTGCACAATAAAATATTTTGCGGTGGCTAATTTTAACAACTGAATTATGCTTAAAATAAATTTCACAGTAATCCTAACCAAAATACCAGCCCCTCACTTCTGTTCTGAAGATCAAGGGCATTACACTATCCCTTTCCTCCTAATCCTCCTAATCTCAGCTACCAGTTAAACATGGTAACACCATTTCAGCTAGAAGAGAAAATTCTAAAAGGTTTCCAATATTAAAATAAAACTATTCGCATGTAAAATCACCTCTTTCAATGAAACAATAGAACCATCCTCCACGGTCAAATTAGTCCTCATCCAAAAAGCAAGTGAATTTTTTTATTTATTTTTTTAAATTTCCTATTTGTAACAATAAGTAAAATTGTTGATATGCATCAATATCACCACAACCCATAAAAGGAAAAAAGAAAAAGATGAAACCTTTATCAACTGTAGCCAAATTCTAGATTAATTCTGATAAGAAAATGAAAAGGGTAATAACAAGAAAAGAGTAAAAGTTGCTAACCACTGACATAGAGCCTAGTTGAAGGAGCAGAAGAAGTGGGTCTAGAATTGGAAGATGAACTTGAGGATTCAGAAGCAGGAGGAGGGAGACATGCCAACACAGAGGAATAACCTTTGTTTCTGAGAGGAAATGATAAGGAAGAAGGGAATGAGGTTGTTCTTTGGTTGGTTTGGGAGCAATTCAGATAAAGTCTCTGTCTTTGGCTCTTAATATTATAGCTGAAAGTGAAAGCATTTGCTTTGGGCAATGGAGGCAGAGGAAGAGTAGCTACCCCAAGAACATCGACGACAACAACAACAACATTAGCCATAGCAATCATTTCCAATGCACATATCCAAGGAAACAGAAACAATAACATTGCAGTTTATATGGGCTGGACCGGGTTTTTTTAGTAATGTGGGCTGGACCGGGTTGGCTCTTTTGAAAGTTTGAAACCTTCGTATTGGTTTTGGATCAAGTAGTTAGAACTTAGGTTATAAATTAAAATATTTTAATTTCTATAGTTTTTGTATTAGATTCTATTTATTTTTGGAGTGTGATCAATAAATTTGTTACTTTTTTATTGATTTATCTCATAATTAATAAATAAATAATTATATAACATATTTTATTTTAATAAAAAATTTATTTAGGACTAAAGTTTTTTACAAAAATCTTTATTTAAGTAATAAGTAATGATAAAGTATTATTATTTTTAATTGACTTGGTTTATATAAATCATTATACAAACGACTTTTAATGTGGGGTTTCATCCCTTCAATTCTCTCCTTTTCTTCATTTTTTTAGGGTTTGGAAGACTCTAATGAGTTTTTTCATTTTTAATTGTTTTTATTATTAAATTTTTATATATAATCAGTAAAGGATATCTCCGGTCAATGGAAAATGATATCGTTTTGAGACTGAAATTAAGGTATTTTTGTAATTTTATGATATTATATGATTATATTAGTCTTTATCATTATACTTTTTTAATCTTATAATCCAAAACAATATCGCTTTGAGCTCAAGGGAGATAATTTTAACTATTAGATTTGTATTTTTTATTTAATTTCAGTATTGCTTACTCTTTTTAAGTCATAAATATTTCTTATAATTCTAAAATTTTAACTTTATACAATCGGAAGAAGTGAACACATAACTAGTACAAATTATCAAAATCCTTTTATCTTATCTAGACACAAAAGGATAATTAAGTCTTAAAAAAAATTTACACTCACTTTCAAATTCTAACTGAATTTATCTTATCACAAATTGTGTAAAATAAAAAACAAAAAAAACTGCGTAGAAAGAACAACCTGGTATGTTTGTGCGCGGTGGGGTGGCCCTCACTCCAACACATAATGTTACAATCAAACGGAGGGTGCATGTTGTTGCTTGCACAAGCCAAACTGCACAAGAACAAGAACATGAACATGAAGATGAAGAAGAAGAATAATTGTTCAGCTGCTATACTGTACCATTATCCTTGTCCTGATGGCGCTTTTGCTGCTCTTGCCGCACACCTTTATTTCAAAGCCACTTCTTTATTCTCTCCTCTCTTCTTTCCTAACACTGTCTATAACCCTCTCAGGTTTCATTATTCACTTCTTTTCCTTTTTACCCTTTCGTTCTGCTCTCAATTATTCCTATAATTTTTTACTTTACAATTTTCAGAGCTGAAGATCTTCCTCTTCACGAAATTGGTGATCTTTACCTCCTAGATTTCGTGGGGTCCCCTGGTTTTGTTCAGGAAATCTCCACCAAAGTTCCAAGGTGCTTCCTTTTTATATTTTTCTTATTGATGATGCATTTGTAGTTTTTGGTTTCTCTTATTTATTTATTCTTTGCAAGTGTTATAGAATTGGTATTGCTCATAGTTAAAATTTTACCTTAGCTTATCATTAGAAATTGTGTTTATTTCTTTATTCATAGTAAAGGTCCTAACTCCTAAGGCTTAGAAGGATTACCCTCACCGTTTCATTGGAGTGGTCTTCATAAATATTCATAAATTTAATTAGACTCCACTAATTTTATCTCTATATAAACACAATTTTTTTTACATGGATGATCTATTAGCTTTGTAGAATTGAATTATCTTTGTTTGTATCAACTGAGGCTGTTCTCTTGTATCTAGAGTGATTGTTTTGGACCATCACAAAACTGCGCTTGAGAAGCTAGGCAGTGAGAGTTCGCTTGGTGAGAATGTGACTAAAGTCATTGACATGGCGAGGAGTGGGGCTACTATTGCTTTTGATTACTTCAAAGACAAGCTTGTGAGTCCTGATGCTGATATTGTGGTTAACCACCCTTCGGTGCTTGATGAATTTGAGCGTGTCCGGCAACTTTTTCAGTACATTGAAGACGGGGACCTTTGGAGATGGAGACTCCCGAACAGCAAAGCTTTTAGCAGTGGTTTGAAGGATTTGAATATTGAATTTGATGCCCGGAAAAACCCTTCCTTGTTTGACCAGGTAATTGTCTTACTATGTGTTCATTTTCTTTCCAAATTTTCTGCATTTCTTATTTTCCCCATTTTTTAGTTTGTGTTGTCTAATTTTTACATGTACATTGATAAGTGTCTAAGTGCATGAAGATGCTTTTCTCCTAAGTTTGTCCATGAGTTCATTGTGCTGATTCTACTTTATTCTAAGGTTGTGGGCATCACTCTTGGTTTTACAGAAATTTGCATATATTTACCTTGCCTCGACAGGAGTGATGGTTGTTTCTTTTCCACTTGCTTGTTGGAGTTAGTGAAAGCTTCCACCAAGATGAATGCATCTTATTGCTGTTTGACCTGTGGTCATATGAGTGAAACCGAAGGAAAATTCATTGCAAATAATGAGATGATCTGACTTTATTTATGTCCTTCCATTATTTAGATAGTTGAAATAACGACATTTTTTTTTTTAATAATGGCAGTTGCTTTCAATAGACTTGGATACTGTAATTAGTCAAGGCATGGTGAGTTTATCACACAAGCAAAAATTAATTGAAGATTGTCTCAGCAAGTCATATGAAATCGCCCTTGGGAATGGTGCATATGGTCATTGCCTGGTATGGCTGATGTTTCCTTCTTTTAATCTCTCTATTTTCTTCCCTTCTATGTCTTGCTTTTGCAGTCAATTTTCTTTCGGCCATCCATCTGCAATGTATTTCATGTTGGTTTTCATCAATGCATAATTTTTAATACAATTAGGTTTCTTATACTTTTTTTTGTTGTGTTTTCTGCACCTTTTCTTGATTAAAAATAGAGAAGAAATGAAAATCTAGTTGCTTTCGACTATTTGTACTTGTAGGCTGTCAATGCAGATACTGCTCTTTCCGAGTTAAGGAGTGAATTGGGACATCAATTAGCTACTAAAAGCCAGAAAATGAAGTTGAGGTTGGTTCATTTTATTTTCTTGTTACTGTTACTTAAATCATATTGCTGTTATTCTTCATTTGACTGTTTGGAAAATTCCTTCTTTATTTAGTAGTGATATGTTCTAGTTATAGAACTATAGAGGTTATGTGATAGAAATTTTTTCCTTGATCCCCTTCCTTCTCTCTTTTCCTCTTCTCCCTAATAATGTATCTATTTGTTTGAGTTCAGGAATTATTTATATGATTGGATATATATTTCCCCCTGAAATCTTGAACAAAGCCGTTTCAGGAAAATTAACTCTGTAACAGCAAAAGGATTTTCGAATTCTGAAGATAGGCTTTCTGTAGGATGAGAAGAAGGGTATCAGTGGAACTTCTTCCTTTATTATCTATGAAGGTAACGTGAAAATAAGAAAGGGAAAGGAAGATGAAGAAAGAAGAGATGGAAAAACCTAAATATGCAGGACAAAATCTAATATTTATAATAATCTCAATAGTCACAGCCTAATTTGTTTTAAGTAATATGTTCTAAATTAATATTTTTTTTTGTAATATAATGTGAACCTCTGCACGAAACTCGCTTGATCAGATCTTTTAAGTTGATAAAGTGTGAAACCTCTCAAACCTTGACCTTCAATGAGACAAAACCTTCGGTAACTGTGTTAAAATTATCTGAGTATGATTTGGTTAAAAATCCACTTTGTAAATAAACTTCAAATTTCCAATGATAGATGATAAGATTGGACACCAAGATGGGGAAAAAAAGAAGGTACGAGTATTATTGATATGGTGAATTAGAGGGGATTCACAACCTCACTACACGATGATTACAGACTAGGAAAGTGTTGAGATATATAAAATCATTAATGTAGACTCACCTAACAGCTTAAGCTTTTGGGTTGAATTGGTTATTTACATGGTATCAGAGTCTCGGTGTGCCAGGTTCGATTCTCACCGCCCCCCACTTTCTTTCTAGTGGAACTTCTTTCTTCGCACAGGTAGGTGGGCCTGTGTGTCGTCCACTCTTCAAGCCCAGTGAACTCTCGTGTGAGGGGGCGTGTTGAGATATATAAAATCATTAATGTAGTCTCACCCAACAGCTTAAGCTTTTGGGTTGAATTGGTTCTTTACAGAAAGATACAAACTCTTGAAGATACAAGTTACTAGTACAGGCTCCAACCTTGCCCCTTACAAGGAGGACTCTACCAGTCCCAATAGCCCAGATTTCCCAAGTTCCAGTTATTTTTTAGAATACCCCACGCTGTTGTCTTGCCTCCTTTTTTTTTTTTTTTTGATAACAGTCTTGCCTCCTTTTTTATACTCAGTCCTTGTCACTGTCAATAGCACAACAGAACAACCTCCTATTTAATTTCTCAACTGGCCAAGACTGACTCTGCTATACTGACATAAGCATTTGTTACCGTATGCCTTTTCCTCCTTTCGTACCTCTTGCCATACATTCTTTTATCCTTAACCGTATCGATAGATATCTAGAATTTTTAAAGGGCTAGATAATTAGAAAGTGTAGAAAAAGAGACCCTCACTGCTGGAACTCAAACATGAATTTTCAAGTCCATCCTATTTTTGATGGGGGAATTTGAAAATTGTTTTACATGCTTATATATCTCATTATCTTGCATTGACCAAGAATCTGCATAATCAGTTTACTGTTTTCTCATTGATATCCCATCTTTTTTATGCACTTATTTCTACTTTCAGGGGTATTGGAGCTGTTGTATATAAAGTACCAGAGCTTGAAAACGACCAAAAGCTAAAAATAAGTCTGAGGAGTGTGGACAATGAAGATACGACTCCTATCTCTCAGGTTGTTCCTTTATCAAGTTGGCAATTGCATCTTATATGAGACTTTTGTTAACATGGGTTATATTTCTTGCTGTTGAACTCGTACCTAACATCTTTTGCTCTTCTATTAGGCATTTGGAGGTGGTGGACATAGAAATGCCAGCTCTTTCATGTTAATCTCTCAAGAATTTGAGCAATGGAAGGTGTGATTGGATGTTTGCACTTGCCATGAGGAGATGAAACAGAATTTACACATGATGTTCTGAATACTGCTTCAATCTGAAACGGTTACTCTGCAAAGCCATGTGAAAGTTTTGGTAGCTGTCTTAATGACTGTATTTTGCAATTCTTTTAGCTATCCATTAGAAATAATTTAGGTTTAGGTAGCTGTCTTGATGACTGTATTATGCAATTCTTTTGACCATCCATTGGAAACAATATAGTTGTTCATTTTTTCTGTAATTTTAATCATAGTCACTTTTAATCACCTAAAGATTTCTAATAATGATCTACTTAGGCTATTTCTGATGAGGTTCTTCAAATGTGTAATCTGGGATGAAAATCTAAAATTTTTAAGAGCACCACATAAAACAAAAATCAAACAATGTATATATTGGTTAGAGGTGGTTAAGGCCTATTCAACATCTTATAAGAGTTAATTTACAAAAGTAGTTTTAATCTACGGCTAAAAAGTTCCACACTGCAAGAATTAATGTAATGATGTGATATATATTTTTTTTATTGATAATATAAAAAGTTTTATATGGTACATCAAATTTAAACTGTATTCAAAATTCATCATTCTTGTCCATATAGCTTCATAGCATTTAGAAATCAATTGGTTTCATAATTATTTAATTAAGCACTTTTAACTGTCTCAAATTTTGATAAACAAGCTTAACAATATTTCAATTTTTTTAAAAAAAAAGTATTTGAAAAGTGAATGACTCACATGCTTCTAGCCTTCTGTGAGGGGGTATTATTTGCTAATTGAGCAATATCCATATTTTCAAACTGTTTCATATGATTCCTTCCTCTATAGTAAAACAAAAAGAGATTAACACTTAAGTTGGGATTTATCTTTATTCCACATGTAACACCTAGTCACCTCGAGATAGAGGTTAGTATAAAAATGCATAAAATCAATGCCATAATATGACCCTAACAAGCGCACCAAACCAAACCAATCAAACCATCCTCACCAATTAAGCATAATAATCAGAAAACAAAAAAGTATCTTAATAACAGTTGTGGTAAATGTATAATTACTTTTATATTTTATTATATGATGAAATGTGTAGGTATCCAGCTCTCTATTCACCACCAATCAGGCCTGTCATTAGGTCTTCAAAATATTAGTTAGTAAATGTAACATGTGAGACTTCTTCACCACCAGCCATTGCTGTATTAGAATACCATGCATCCTCTGTAATGAACTGCATCCATGAATCATCTTTGTCTTCCTCTTCCAAACAAGAAGATGATGCCCCTGGTATATCCGGAGACATGGTTTCACACTCATTAATTATGGTTTGGGAGCTTTCAATTAGTGACAAACTACATTGCCCTTGTTCTTCAATATCAGAGCAGATTCCATTTTTCTTGAACACACGGCACAATGCATAAGTATCCTGCAAGTTAACCAATCTCGTTAAGTGGTGCTAAAGGAACTTGGTTAATATGGAATGATCAAAGTAATGTAGTCAAAAGTTGAGGCCTAAACAGATCTACATAATGTTTTTTTTTTTAAATAAAATCATAAAGGACAATATCTGAACAAGTCAGTGGCATAAAGATTCAAAGAGTGCTAAATGTTTTGTCCATGTTTCTTATTAAAAGTAATAATAATAATAATAATGCTACTATATAGTAATCAAGTGTAAACTTTAAGACACTTTTAGGTTACTAAAAGGGTGGAACATAGTGTGTGTGTGTGTGTATATATATATATGTGTTAATTTCATTGTTAAATCCCATGCCACAAGCATCTAGAGTACCTCATGGACATCATGGCTTAATAATGAAGTTAACCCATTATTTGGTTAGTATAGACTGGTTTCCCAATCCCTCTACTTTTTTATTTCATTTTTAAATTTCTGGGGTATAGTGTAGTATAGTATAGTATAGTATCTATTGGTCTGTTCTGGTGTTTAGGAATAAAGTAAAAAGTGACCGACAGAAAATGAAAGTGATGTTCTGCATGCTTTATGGGGCTACACAAGCCTTCATGGCTTAGAATCTAATAATTCTAGATCAGGAACAAGAGGGTTGAACAGATAACAATGACAATTGACAGACTAATAACTTAAAAAGAGTTTTAATTAAGAAGGGGTATAGATCATAAGGAGAATAGGACTTTTGTCTCATTACATTAATAAAAATAAAGGACAAGATGCAGTATAGAACTTTGTCATTTAGAGGTATTAGAGTAACGCAAGTAAAGAATATGTCAGCAATACGTTTATAGAGTACCTATAATAAACAAACATAAAGTAACATGAGAGAGAGAGAGAAGGAATAAAACTAGTGTAAAAGTTCAGGCTTTCCATGCACGCCATGCAGTTTCCACGTTCTTTTACTGTCCAAATATGCTCTCTATTAGTCCATTAATTTCTCCATTTTCAAGTTCTACTCACTGTGTTTATAGTGTGTGACTCTGATTAACTCATCAAGGGAATATGGAACTAAAGCTTATTTGTCTTTTTTTCTTCTTGTCTTTGGTGTAAAAGAGTAGCCGAAAATAATCAATGAAAAATGCTTTTGTCACTGCCTTAAGCATCGAACTTCATGCTTTTCAGGTCAAATATATATGTAGTGACAAGTGTGCATACACACACAAACAAAAGAGAGTTCTGAAAGTAGGTAAAGGGCCAAGTGGGCACTGAGGGATATATAGTTTCAAAGATCAAAGAGAACAGAAACATTTACTTTTCTAAGATGTGACTTGTATAGCTTTTGGAAGCTGTAACTAATTAGTTATACTCGTGTTTCACCACCTCCAAACAATCCCCTTATTCTCCAAGGCCTAAAAATGAAACACAGCTTAATCATCTCCAATTCCTAACTTATATCACTGCATTGATTGCAGGTATATTATAGGCAAAAAGAATTTGAAGTGGTTAACTACTGATTTCATTAAAAACAATAAAAGGAGCTCTGAATGCCTTGTGAATATGTGCTCATCCTAAGACATATTATGTTAAAATTTTACATAATCTTATTATGTGAAATTTGAGTGTCTAACTCTCTCTTGATATATATTCACAAATTTTGATAGGGTCCTATCAATTTAATACTCATAAAAAGAGAGATATACAAAAATTTCAATTCCTAAGAGCAACACTATACTAGTCTAGCAACTATATTAAGTCTATCACATAATTATGAAAAATGATGACAATTGAATTACAAGAAGAGTAAAGCTGCACACACATCTAAAAGGAAAACTGTCAGTATATAGTTTATTGTACGAGTGACTTTTCATCTCTCACAAATTTTTGTCTTTTCTTTAATCTTTTTTGGTTGTGTGAGTGGCATTGCAGTTCCTATTATTATATATGCAAAGGTTCAATACCTGTAATCCAGAGGCGTCTTCACACTCTTTATCATCAAGGCGATATTCATGCATTACCCAGTCAGTTCTGATTCCTTGAGGAGCTCTGCCTCTGTAGTAAACCAAAGTCTTCTTCATACCAATAGGTTTGCTTTGGCATGAAACTCTTCTATCTTTCCCAGTAGATTTCCAGTACCCTGCTCTAGTTGCTCTATTTGTTCTGAACCCATTGGGGTATTTCCTATCCCTTGGTCCAAAGAAGTACCACTCTGGGTCTCTACTTGGCAAAAATGATTTCTCTAACCAAAACAAAAAATGTTCCAACAAAATCAGCCAATTGAAGAACACTGCCTAATTTAACATATATTTAATGTATAGTGCATCAAATGCTCATTGCTTAAAATGGGAAAATATGTGAAGAAGAAAGTAAAACATAGGAATTATATAGTTCAAAATATGTAAAGAAAGAAAACCTCTATAGTAAAGTACATGCATGATCCACCATCTTAATCATAACTAGATTGATGGTATACAATTTCTTGAATAACCATTCACCATTAAACCCCAACTAACCATGGTAGGGTGAGGACAATCCTTATACACGGCCTTTATCTTTGCATATTTGCAAAAAGACTGTTTCTCTTATTCAAACTTGTGATGTTTCAATCACAAAAGAGCAGCTTTATCATTGCTCGAGGCTCGCCTTCTTGTATATAATTTCTTGAATGACATTGGAAAATGAAAATTATTCTTATGAAAACGTTAATGTGCAAGCCAAGTGGGGGAGGAAGATAAATAAACTGATTCTCATTTCCTGGTGGAACAAATAGATAAATGACAAATAGGAGAAACAAAGTATTTGGAAGAATTGAAGGGGGGGATATATAGGGAAGAAGAAGAAGAAGGAGACCTGCTAATTCCCATGGTTCACATTTGTAGAGATCAACCTCAGGAATGATATCAAGTTCAATTTCTTGGCCATTGATCTTCCTCTTGAGATAATAGTTGACAAGTTCTTCATCAGTTGGATGAAACCTAAAACCAGGTGGTAATCCAACCGGTGACATATTTTTTTCCGCCTTCTTTCTCTTCTTGTAGCTTGTGCAAAAGTGTTTTCACCCATCACAACCATCATTGCTTATAAATAGACCTAAAGGAACCAAAGTTCCTTATCTTTGAGTTTTTTTTCTCTTTCTTTTTCTTTTGCAGATTTACATATTCTGGCATAACGTTTGATACAAGCCTTTCCCTATCACTAATAATACCTCCTTCTATATATCTATATATGCATGTAGTTTCAAGTAAATTATACAAATCCTCTATATATAATCCCTTGCTTTCCTTAATACTTTAATTGATGGCTCTTTTTCTTTCTTTTGGGAGAACATTTTGAGACAAAAGAAGGCAAGGGCATTGGCATGAAGAGAGTCATGAGCTTTAGAGCTCAGATATATCATATATACCTAGTTTTTTGTATCTAGATTAGTCAATCAGTAATACAAGCAGACATCACACTTTTTATAAGAAGCAGTAGATAAAGTTGATATTATCTAATATATATATATACCAATTTAATACTGCTAGACTAGCTAGCTTACTAAGACATCCTATCATGGTGATTGGTTATTTGAATATTGAATAATGTCTAAACACAGTTCTGCTTTGCTTAATTTGATATTGGTGCTTGAAATGTTAAATTAATTTTTTATATCCATCATAAAGCTGCAGCTTATTCAAATTGTGTTTCATGGAGATGATCCATATGCTGGTGATAAAACATATATATATATATATATATATATATATATATATATATATATATATATATATCGAACAAAAAAATGAAATAAAATGCATTTGTATGTATTTTTCATGGGAGTAGATCTCATCATCTGTTATTTAATATGACCATATCATGTGAAAAAATCATAATCATATAAAAATAAACAATGGTGATAAGGGAAAAGAGAAAAAAATATTAAGATAGATAATTACAAAATCATCACCGTTGATTGACTCTCGTATGGTTCGGATTCTCTCATATGACATGGTCATGTTAAATAACATATGAAAGAATCAATTTCCATTTTCTCATATTCAATTTTAACTATGGAAACCTGTAACACGATATCAGGTTTATATTGACAACCCGTCTTCAAATTTGTATCGTGTTTATATTGAAAAAATTAATGCAAAAAAATTCATGTGGTACTGGGTAATGGGTATGAACACGCAAACACAACACTCGTCCCGCATTAATATTTTCTTAATGTTATATATGTCGTGTTATATCGTGTTAAACTGCATAATAAACGAAAAACTTAAAGATTAGTGGGTTATTTGTATTGTGATGGGTCAACCCGCAAAATAACTAGGTTGTGTTTGTATAAAAAGATTTAACACAAATTTTTATTTATGTTTGTGTCAAAACCCTGTGTGATCATGACTTGCTAACACGAATTTTCACCTTTAATTGAATTTAGTATATTTTGACATTACATATTTGTCAATTGGCATTATATTATTTTTTAATGAAAGGGGAATAATAGCTATAGTGTTCAATGTGAATTATGACTATATAACAAGAAGGGATGATATATTATGTCCACATTATTTCATTCATATTCTACCTACTCATTTTAAACATTGTTAGAGTAAAAATTAGTTGAGATTCTAATATAATAATATTAAAGATGAGTAGGTAAAATAGAAAAAAAAAAAAAAAAAAAACAGGCACAATATTCTATCCCTAATAAAAAATTGGGAAGTATTAAAAGTCCATAAAGTAACAAATATAGATGAGTCTATCCCTTTTATATTCATTTTTAAACTTTTATATGAATAATTAATAATGATAATTTGAACTTTCCAAAAAAAAAATTATGATAATTTAAAAAAAAATATTAGGTACCAAAATGGTAAATGAAGGATCCCTTCTCTATATTATAATAAGTGTAGAATCCCTTTATATGATAGTATAGAAGTATATATTATTTTCTGCACTAATGTGAATTTGATATGCAAGCTCTTAATTTGAAATATAATAAAGCCAGGCAACAAGAATTCTTTAAAATAAGATTAATGTTAAAAGGAAATTAAATCTAGAAGATAAAGTCAAGCTGCAGAACTATTCATTCTTTCATTTGGTCCAGTACTAGCTTCTGCTTTAAGAATTTTCACCTTGAATCAGTGAGCTTTTGCTTTATAACCTAACTTTCTACGTAATTATTACTCAGCAATAATCCCCATGTATCTGCTGAGAGTATACTTTTGTCACTCCTAGTGTCCCTTTTCTATTTGGATGATTCTAAGCCCTCTTTTATGTTTTCTCTTTGCTTCAATGTTGCTCTTTGATCAAAGATCTAGCTAGCCCCATTATATCTTTCTTATCACATCTTAACTTTTTCAGATTTTGCATATGTTACAAAAGAATAATGCACTCATTCTTTAGACTTGTTTAGTTGGTCTACATAAATCCAAAACTTTAGTTATTGCTGGTTGTCATGTCAAAAAAGAACTTGCTCTAAGCTTCAAATACAAGGTCAAAGAAAAAGTAGTTTAATAATTAGAGTAGCTGCCCCATAACTTTCAATAATCAGGGACAAATAATCAAGATTCCAAAATTAATTCAACTACACTTATGGTGGATCTCAACCTTAAGATTTTTAGTTTAGTCTGAAAAAAAAAATCAACATTTTCTACAATCTTTACCTTAGATAGCATCTCCATTTTGCGATTTCCCAAATAAAATACAATATACAAACTTATTGAGACTTAGATGTAATGTATAATTAATGAGTATAAAGAAGAACAGATAAATAAATTGAGAAGTACCTTTTTTAAAAAATATATATATAGTAATTTGTTAGGAAAAATATCCATCCATGTGTACTCTTTGATGATAAATATTTAGTGTACACTTCTGGAGACATGGAATTAAAAAGGAAAACGAAAATTCCTTCTACAAACTCTGAAAAAAACAACTTTCTCAAACATATAAATGCATGATTCAACATCATCCTAATCGAATTTAAATTACACATAATGTGATAGGGAAATTAAAATAAAAGCTAACGAGCTCAGGAAATTTGAAAGAAAGCAATTGCAATGGTGATAAGCTACAATGTCAAAGATGATTCAAGAAGTGTAATATCCGGAGCGCTGACGAAGGCGGGAGTGATCATCGGTACAAAAGAGATGAGGCACGAACAAGGAGTGATTCTTAGCAGGCTTTCAGTGGGAGGAGTACATAAATGAATCAAATCAACACTCGAACGATAGGGATCCAGAGGCTATGCAGGTATGGGAGTATACAATTGAGGATGACTTTAAGGAATTAATATGTACTACCGATACTAACAATATGCATCTACTTTTCAGTAGCCCATAACTTAATAACTCTATAGATAAACGTTCTTGATTTGGAGCAATTCTGGGATGGGTAACCTCCTAAGAAATTTCTCAAGAAGTGTGTAAGTGAAGACAAAGCACGCTAAAAAGTTTCGTGTTGGTTTGTGGGGGCAATCATTGATCCTGCAAGTGGCCGTAAAGATGAGGCACTGACAAGAAGCACCTCCTAGCAGGCTTCCAGCGGTAGAGGTTCATGAATGAATCGAATCAACACCTGAAGAAGAGGCATCCAGAAGTTGTGTAGGTATGGGATTGTATAGTTGAGGATAGCTCAAAGTAATTAATATATACTACCTATACTAACAAGATGCATCTGCTTTTCGGTAGCCCATAACTTAAGAACTTCATAGTTAAGCGTGCTTGACTTGAAGCAATTTTGGGATAGATGACCTCCTAGGAAGTTTCTCAAGAAGTATGTGAGTAAGGACAAAGCACACTGAAAAGTCTCGTGTTGGTTTGTACATACAGACATTGATCCTTTAAGTAGTAGAGTGTTACAAGACGAGTACAGATAATCCATCAGGTTCTTTGGGCCTCGATCCTCTTCATGAGGCTTGGTGTTAGACTTCAGAAAATGGGCTGGATCGTGGGCAACCTGCTTATTTAATTAAAAAAATTTCCCATTTGGAATTGATTATCTATTAGATAAAATAAAGACTCATTTAGTGGTTAGGATAAAGATGATATGATTCTGTTGCCTCATTTTATTATGTTTGCCGCAACAAAATAAACTATCATAAGGGAAACTTGGGTTAGGAATGGACAATATAAGATAACATATTTCACACCCTTTTGATCCTAATTGTATCCATGTGCTCTTCTTCTACGAATTTTGCTAGACACGTGAGGGTCAACCATTGTCACTGTCGGTCATCAATCACCTCTACCTAGAGGTGGCAATATAAATTAAACCCGACAGGTTAACCCGCCAAAACAAGCGGGTTGGGTTACACTTATCAATCCACCAACCGCCCCCCTTAGTTGTGGGTCAAAATGGATTGGCAGCGGGTTGGCTCGCAGGTCAGTTTTTTTTTTACTATTAGGTAGTATTTTATTTGTCACTAAAGTTTTGTGATATAATTTTTTTTATCTTAGTACTCTCCTAGAAAAATAAAGAAGAAAAATTTTATTTATGACAAAGATTATCCATATATAAAGGCAAAAATAACTTCCTAAAAATGTCTGACTGAGTATTAGTTTATATTTAGGCTTGAGATTCAAAAAAAACTAAGGGGCGTGTGACATGAAAATAAGTAATATTATAAAATTAATAAAATATATTTTATTTTTATTTTTTAGGCTGGTTGACCCGGCAACACGCAACCCGTCATAAAACGGGGTGGATTGGATTTTTCAACTCATATTCAAGAGACAGGGCGTGGCTGGCCAACTCGTTTTGCCACCTCTACCTTTACCACCCACCACCGCCGACCAACATCATCATAGGCCATCACCATAAGCTACCAGTCACCGAATCGTTCACCGTTAAAGCTTCCACCACAACCACTTCTAGCCATCCCCATCTATCACCATTGCACCAACCACCACCATCATTATCATTGGCCATTAGCTAATATTTTATAGTGCACATATTCTTTCCTTCTTTCTTTTTCCCCATTAAAAGTAGCATGTTTCCTTGTTTAATAGAGTAATAATT